GCCAGTTTTATTTACAGTCCAGGCCAGTTTTATTTACCTGCTGACGTGGCAGGTTCGGCCGATCGCGGCCCCCATTGGCTGCGGTTCGCCGTCCCGAGCCAACGGGGGCGGCAAGAATCGGCGTGGGCAAGCGATGTGCTGGCCGCGGCTTCTCGCCACCCCCATTGGCCCGGGACGGCGAACCGTGGCCAGTGGGGGCCGCGATCAGCCGAACCTGCCGCATCAGCAGGTAAATAAAACTGGCCCGGCCGAACGTTGCCGACCCCGATATATAACCAGCATTATCTAGTATATTGTAGTCAAGCATCTACTGCATCCATCACCATGGTACCTGAGCACCTACCAATGAAGTAAATGATGTGGCTAGCACCTGTCATTTTTGTTTCCTTATTGCAGAAGCTGGGCCAGTGGACATGTGGAAAAGTGCAAATGGGTTACTTAGTTTAGCTTCCCTCCATGCAAAGATCATTACAAATTCTACTTTTACCAGCAACATACCTTTTGCTGAAAATACATACAGTCCTTTAAAACCTTCCATCCTTTAAAGGGAGGGTGCATAACACTCAACAATATATGGTAAATAAACATAATAAGCAAAAAGGAGAACTCAGAGTGAATCATCTCTGCGTTCTCATTGGCCAGCTACCAACTGTTACCCTCAGCCTTGGACATTCAAAAAAATAGCAAGAACCAAGAAAGGCAGTTTCTTCCATTGTGTCACCGCTACACAAAGCAATTCAACGAATAAAACAGCTGCAATTTATTTCTGGGGCCAACACAAGGGGAAATGTACGTCAGAAAACAGTAAGTGTTATTTGACCGCCCACAGCTACCAGGTTCCATTTCTAAATACAAACACAAAGTCAGGCTCATTTAACTCTTCAAAAAATAGAGACTTAATAAAGATTTAAGGCTGTCAGTGCACAAATGATCTGATATCCCGTCAGTTTACTGAAACTAAGTCAAGTCTGCTAAGCTTGAATATAACCATGTATCGAAGCTAGGATGATTTCCCATCAGTATGTCTTGACCCCTGGACGAAGAGTCTAGAGTCATTCAGTTTTAGAAGTGAACGTTTAACATGAATTGATCATATCCTGCTATCGTCCCCAATTCCACTTATGTTCCCGAAACAAAATACAAAAGGAGACACAAAAGAGTAGCTAATTAAATCTCAGACATAACCACAGTTTATAGTACATACTGATAAATGCATGAAGAACATAAGAACGGCCATACTGGGTCAGACCCAAGGTCCATCTAGCCCAGTATCCTGTCTTCTGACAGTGGCCAGTGTCAGGTGCCCCAGAAGGAATGAACAGAACAGGTAATCATCAAGGGATGCATCCCCTGTCGCTCATTCCCAGCTTATGGCAAACAGAGGCTAGGGACACCATTCCTGCCCATCCTGGCTAATAGCCATTGATGGACCTATCCTCCATGAATTTATCTAGTTCTTTTTTGAACCCTGTTATGGTCTTGGCCTTCACAACATCCTCTGACAAGGAGTTCCACAGGTTGACTGTGCATTGTGTGAAGAAATACTTCCTTTGATTTGTTTTAAACCTGCTGCTTATTCATTTCATTTGGTGACCCCTAGTTCTTTGAACAAGTTGGGAAATTCTTGCTACAAAATTGGACCTAAAACTGAACAAATATAATCTCTAAGGAAGCAGTTTTAGGACATTTGAGAAATGCCCACTTTAAAAGCCCACTTTAATTGGCGAAACCTTACAGGAAGGAGAATGGAAGAGCAAACAATTTCATCTCCAAATAATTATTGGATGGCAAAGAGCGGCAATGGACAGGTACTTTGGAACACCCAGCCCCACCATTGTGACAGTAAAGAAGATCTTCCTAGGTCGTGTTTAACATTATTTATGACAACTATAGCTATTTATATCAATGAACTCAAAGACAGTGTGTGGTTCTGTGTACAGAGAAGCCAAATCCAATGTTGATTGTTAAATTCAGAAGCTTCCACTCAGAACTATCTTCTCATGTACCCATTTCCTGTTATATTCTTAATATTTGCTACCCTCAAAGCCACCCTTTTCCTAAATCCTTTTCAGCTGCAGCTTTTCCATCACATGCACAAGATCCATATTTAAGCAAAGTGTTCTGGGACAGGATAGGTAACTGTACAGATAATGCTCAAGTGAGTACAATCGCTGTGCACCAGCTATCAAATCACTCCTCTGGCTAGGAGACTAAACCATAAGAAGAGGTATACAGAATTCCACCCACCCCCATGTTCGCTTATGTCATGCAACAGGCTCAGGACAATGAAGCGTCTCTCTTTTAGGGACAAAGTTCAGTGCTTACTGCTCTCTGCACATAAGTTTATTTCTGAATTATAAATAGGCAAATACTGTACTACCACGCAAATTTCAGATGTGAAAAATGTGGTTACTTTCGCTTTGCTTCCCAACAACATCAATAAAGAATCTTTGAGAAACAAAACCCATGAATAGGTGCAAACAATAAAATAGTCCCTATTTGGAGCAAGCTAAGAAACCACTTTTACTAACCACCAAATGGCCCACTAATGAGAAGGCAGCGGACACCTGAAAAATCCCGGGCTATGTGAAATTAACACTACATAAAGCAGTAGCAGAGAACAGAGAGAGCAGCACATCTATATTTTGTGATTCTCCTCCCCTTTCCATCCCCAGCCTAAACCTAGCCACTAGCTAAACCTACATGTGTGAATTAAGCTCTATTTATAAATGTTCAGCTGTTTTTTTTTAAATGGCCTTAATATAGTACAGTTGTTATGTTGTTTTTGTTGAACTTAGCAACAGGAAACTGTGTCACTCCTTCTGCAGCAAACTTTCCATTCTCTTGGCACTCCCAATCCCACACCAGAAAAGCCAGATTTAAAAAGGGGCCGGGGAGGTTGGCTAATCTGAGCATGCTCCTTCTCTTTGCAGGGAAGCAAAGGGACAGGACAAAGCTGCAGCCAGATTTATATTGAAGTATCATACCACTTACGTTATGAAACACATAAAACAAACCTAAATTCAGTACCTTTATTTTTGTTCCTCTTTTGAGATGCACGTTGCTTGAAATAAATGAAATATGGGGTGTGTTCTTTTTTGCATTTGTCTAAATAGATCCTGCTATACAAGCAGACACCCAGGGATTAGTCATGAAAATTATCTATAAGGGGCGGGTTAAGAACAGTCAGCATCTTTACACTACAGCATTATGATAATGAAAGACATTTATTGAAGCACACACATTTTAGATTGGAAGGTTATTAACACTATTCCCTGGTTAACTCGCTAAGTTAACAATTACAAACTCAGCCTTAACTTGTTAAAAACATACAAAAATAAGCCTGATTTTATTGTCTGCTTTGGCAAGATTATTTTACCACCCAAAGAGATTTCATTAATGTGCAGAGACGAATTCTCTGGGCTCCACCCTGTAATGCTACTTCATCTCTATACTGTTTACTATTATAACATTAGCTTCTTAATTATAAACCAACACAAAAACACAGCTGCTCTAAAACAGCGCACACGCACACTACTGAAAATGCCTCAGACAATTGGGACAGATCACATCAAGAAAGACAGCTTATAACAGAGCAAAATGCATGAGGGCTGATTTAAACCACAACTTAACTCCATCTCAAACAAATGTAATACCCTAGCTTTTATTATTGTAATGAATCCTCAAAAACGGTGATAGCTGACGGTGACAGAAAACATTTAACACAAAATAACCCCACTTCATTTCAAACTTCCTGCCTGATCTTTTTCCTGGTGTCTCCCATTTTATGGTTCCCTCTTCCCCGTCAGATTTGGTTTGCCCTGTATTTGGGCTTATGATTATTATTTATTTGCAATACTGTAGTGCATATAGACTCCAATCAAAATTGGGGTGCCACTGTGCTAGGCACTGTGCAAACACACAGGCTACATCCACACTAGAAACACTACAGCATCACAGCTGCAGTTGCGCCACTATAGCATAGACACTTACTACAGAGACGGAAGGGGTTCTTTAGTAAATCCACCTCTCCAAGAGGTGGTAGCTACATTGACAGAAGAATTCTTCGTTCGACCTTGCACTGTCCACACTGGGGCTTAGGTCAGCTTAACTATGTCTTTTAGGAATGTGAAAAATTCATACCTTTGAGGGATGTAGCTAGGTCAACCTAAGTTTCTAGCATAGAGCAGACCATAGTTAATAGTCCCCTGCCCTGACGAATTAACAATTAAACAGATGACTGGTGGGAGGAGACACAGAAGCACAGAGATGAAGTGACTTACACAAGGAAACAGGACAGAGCAGAGTCACATACAACACTAGATCTCCTGACATCCAGTGCAGTGCTCTATCCACTAGACCAGGGGTCGGCAACATTCGGCACGCGGCTCGCCAGGGTAAGCACCCTGGCGGGCTGGGCCAGTTGGGACGGCGAACCGCGGCCAGTGGGGGCAGCGATCAGCCGAACCTACCGCATCAGCAGGTAAATAAAACTGGCCCGGCCCGCCAGGGTGCTTACCCTGGCGAGCCACATGCCGAACGTTGCCGACCCCCGCACTAGACCATGCTCTCTCTCTGTACACACTTATGAACCATCATTTTATGTTATCTACACCATGAGCTACAGTAATACTGTAGGGCGAGAAGGGAATCTTTCACCTCCCCAATTTTGGACAACCTCATATTGTGGGGCACCAACAGACCTGAGTTATCTATCATACATTATGAGACCGTCAAAACTTTTTGTGGGTTTGATTTTTTAATTTGTCTTTTATCGTCTTTTTATTTTAAACTAAATACCATTTCAAAAATAAGGAGGCCTAAAAATCAATGCTATTTTTAGAAGGTTAAAAAGAAAAGCCACAATGTATAACTTATGTTTAGCTTCACAGCAGCTGAGGAAAGGAAATCAGCAACTCAGCTGATCATCAACAGCTGCACAGACATTCCTTTTTAAAGCATTACAAAGTACAAGATAAAGATGCAAAAATGACACTTACTGTTTCTTCAGAAACTGCATGCTCTCTGAGGTCTTTCAAAAAATCCACCTCATCTTCAGTTTTCATCTCCAGCTTTTCTGCAAGGACAGAAGGTTTGCAAAGAAGATTTAAACAAACTTCCCCCAGGGCTGCTGTTTTTCTGTTTATTCAAAAAGTTCTAAAAAACTTGACAGGCGTTATTTTCCTTCCAACAGCTGGTTTCATTCCTGACTTTGCTGCTTGTTTGTTAGTAATTTTACAACTACAGTGTCTGTGAATGAAGGAAACTATGAAACAGCAGTGAGCACACAGAAACCACAGGACTAGACTTCTACAGATTGCTCTATGTGAAGCTTGAAATCTAGGTTATATCTGCATATATGCTTACACCAAAGAAGACTTTACTTCCATTATTCCTGCTGTATGATCAAAAAGTATATATTTGTTTTTCTCTGATTTAGTTGGGGTTGGTCCTGCTTTGAGAAGGAGATTGGACTAGATGACCTCCTGAGTCTCTTCCAACCCTAATCTTCTACAATTCTATGATTCTTTACCCTAACATGGAGACAGGTGGGAGGCAAGAATGTTTTCTCAACTTTCAAGTGTTTAATGCAATGCCAGCTTCTCAACACATGCCTCTTCTCCTTAACCTGAAGTGGTAGATTAGGTCCCAGAGGGCAGTAAGACAAGTTAGTCTCCATCCAAATTTGGCAACTGTCTGGACAATTTTTTTCCCCTGGTAACGGTGTTGATGGAACACAAGAGAAACTTTGTGTCCCCACTGTCCTCTCTTCCCAGAAAATTAACATGTAAAACTTAAACGATCGCCATTTACACCAGCGTTTTCTCTCTCTGCACTTTTCCCACTTCAAATAACCATTTTTGTCTTGTGACACCTACACAGACCAGGACTTAAATCTAAAACCAATTTCCACTTCTAAAGTCCCATGGATTACAAAATACTTCAGAGACAGTGAATGAAGCTTCACTAACCCCCCCCCTTGCGAGTTATATAAATATTCCCATTCTACAGCAGTGCAGAGAGGTGAAGTGATTTGACCAAAGTGTAACAATGAGTCAGTGCTTGAGCCAGGGACAGAACGCAACACACCTGTCTCCCTGCTCTAACCACTAGGCACATCATTCTTCTCCTAGCCATCTGTAACTGAGCACTATAGGAATCAAAAGGATTTTTAACTAACAATTTGTAGTGGATCATTTGTACAAAAGGAGGCTGTGGGAAACCACAGTTCCATCTTAAAATAAAACCACTGAAAAAAGTAGTTGGCACTGATAGTGCAAGCTAGTCTGTCTTAAGGGCATTAAGGATACTTTGCTACACACCGCTTGCTGTACTAATTCAAAGAAATTAGCAATTAACACAACATTGTGGTATCTGATAGAAAGACCTGATGAGTTTATGGGTTGTTAACAGCAGAACCGCCCAAAAACCCAGAGACGATTCAGCAGTAGTTCTGAGCACATGTGAGAATCACCCAGGGGACACCAGTTTGTTGGCAAAACAGCCAGTGATCATGTATTTATGATAAGAAAGAGAGTTCAGCCAGAAAGGGTGACCCTCCCTCACAAACTCTTGAAATTTGCTGTCGGAAAGGATAATAATGCCGCAGGAATGGGCCCCCAAGAAATGCCAGCCTGTTAATGCCCAGCATGTGCACCCTAACTCCCCCAGGGTATAGAGGGGAAGAGAGCCACCCTGGGGCCCCAGGCTGCACATATAAACAAGGAACTATGTTTAGGGGGAACAGACAGGCTGCTATCATGAATGCAAGAAGGTGCCCCTTAAGTATGGGGTGGAAGGAACAATCTTGTTGCTAAAACACAGTACTGGGCATCAGGGTTCTCTTCCTGGCTCTGCCACAGATTTCCTCTGTGGCCTAGGACAAGTCACTTAAACTGACTGTGCCTCAGCTTCCCCATCTGAGAAATGGGGATCATAATGATAGTTTTCTCCTTCCCAGGGGGGTTGTGAGGATCAATTCATTCATGTTTGTAAAGTGTTTTGAGATCCTGAAGAAAGGGCAAGGGACATGTTTAATCCCACTCCCATTAAAGCCAACAGTTAAACATCCATTGACTTCAATGGGAGCAAAATCAGGCCTTATTTTTGTTGTTCACCTATACAACTATGATTGGCTCAATGTATAATTTAAGGACTTTATCTTTGCAAATCATTGTCTGAGCACTGTTTACATATATGGATTAACCCAGACAAATCTGACTTCCGGGTTTGGACCTTTGTGGGCTTCCACATAATCACTTGGACTGGTCCAGCATGTGATTTGGAAGAACCAAGTTTTGTGCACTTTACTTCCAGAACACAAGCACTTCTACTAAGAATGAATATCCCAAACCCATAAACTAGTGTTGAAATACATCATGGAGGCATTCGGGCATGGAGCACTTTAAGTAATATTGTTAATATTAATAAAACTGGTCTACACTGGAACCTGCCACCCTAGCTGCTGAAATAAATGCTAGTGAAAACCTTTCTGGACAGTCAAACCTTTCTGTCCCCGTGGTTAGGCGCTGGAAAGTAGAAATGGTAAAATTCTACTATTGGAAATTAAGCATATGCCAGCCAATAAATTCTCTCTGAAGGCCAATACCTGCCAGGAGATCCATTAGGGCAATTTGTTCAAGGGGAATCTCTAGAGAACAAAGCACGCTATTCGTGATTTAGTTACGGTAGAAACCAGGCCAGTGTGAGTCGTCTTATCTGTTGGGTGTCCGAACTTCGGCTTCATACCCCAACTGCTTGCTTGCCCAAATGCGAGTCAGGCCAAATATGCACTATTCAAATAGTTTGCATGGAAAATCCCATTTCACAGGGGTAATTCAGTGCTGAATAAAAGGCCCAACCCCTAGGTACTGCATGAGGTCTGTAAGACTTTCTACAAGAGGCATGGGAGTCTCCCCTTGACTTCACTGCACTTTAGGACCAGGCCCTGAATAGCTGTTTGGATGCAGGCTTGATTTTGCTTTTGGAGACTCTAAATCTTATTAAACTGATCACATGACATGGGGATGAGATGAAAGAGAGTGATGTCATCAGAAGCAGTGAATATAAACTTACACAGCTAGATGGTCTTGCATCTTTCCCTGCCTCTCTCACTGAGAAAAATCCTTTGATTGAACCTCACAAACTGTGACAATTTAGCAATGACAATGAAAAAAAAATCCCCATTGACGTGTGTTTCTGGGAAGCATCCCCCTGACCCGAGCCTCTACTCTCAGAAGGGATCCAGCCCAAAGTCTGTCAGAAAAGGATTTTGGTTCTTTCTGCTGAGCAGCAGTTACGTCCCTAACCGCAAAATAAATATATACACGTCCCTACTTGCCAAGATAAGTTCTGACTCAGAACAAAGTAAACTTGAAAAACCTCACAGTACTTAGTAATTTGCTCCTTTGACAAGACAATAAGTTATCCAGGTAGGGCAGTCACCACACAAAGTTTAAATGCCATCTCTCTCTCTCCACACACACACACACCCCACAATAATAATAATAATAATAAAAAACATATCTTCTGGTCTTTGCTTTAAACCCATGTCTTGTCTGTGCCCACATAGCATTATTCTGTAGATTGTTCCAATACTCCCTAGGAGAAGCCATTCTACCCTAATTTGTCCTTTGTGCCGCTTCAGATTGTGACCATGTTTTTCTTATGGTAGAAGAGATAAACATATGCTGGATCCTTGTGTTATTTCCCTTTTACATTTTTGAAATCTGTAACATATCACCTCCCAGTTTCCTTTTCCCTACCCTAGCTTAGAATGATGTTTTAACATTTTTATAAAAAACACAAGTTGTATTTTTCAATATGGGCACTAATTTACTACACTGTAATTCCTTGTCTCTTCGATTTCTATACAATATCTTGCATGAAAAACCTGTATATCCAACAGCAGGTATAGAATTAAATCTTGGCTACAGAGACTTAGACGCCAGGAGACAAAAAAACAAGGAGCTCCCAGAAGAAATTAGCATTCCCAGGTATTGACTTTCAGCCACTCCCATTCTATTGAAATGTCAACCTGCCACAATACAAAAATAGAAGTTTCTTTTTTAAAGGAGCTTTCTGATTCATGTAAACAGCCTGTTACATAGCAGCTGATAACTTATTATGACTAATAAAACTCTTTAAAATCCCAAACTTACCAAAACTTACTAAATATTCACCACCCCTAGCCCCAAAGAACAGGTACCCACAATTGTGCTGCCAGTCAATGCTAACATAAATCGCCTTCCACAACTCTACTTGACAAAATCTCTTCCCTTTATGCAGTAAAAAGCAGTCATATATTTCTATGATTTTACAGCTCCCGCCTCTAAACGGCTGGGGTTGATGGATACATTACATCTATTTTGATTATTTTCTTTAGAATTCTGAATTAGTCTTTTGTTTTGAGCTTGTTAAAGGAAAGATATGTCTTACCTATAGATTCCTTATAACTAAATAAGAGCAACACAGAGATAGATCAGCTGTTTACATTTAACAGCTGCCTGAACAGGTGTAATATAAAGCCTGGATCAAACCAGCTGTGCGCTTCAGTAGAAATGTCACCTGTGATTTCAGTCCAGACTGGAAGACTCCAAAAGTCAGTTATTTTTTGTTGTATTTATCAGAGGAAGAGTTGCTGTTTTGTTTTGTTTTGATTTTTTGACGGTTCCTATTTGCTCTTGTTGAACATAGACTGACTCTGCCAAAGCTCTCCTGATGCAGTCACTTATCTCCTATGACATCACTCATCAGAGGTCCCCACTGATCTTTCATCCTTGCTTGTTGCACTGAACGAGTAATGAGCGTTTGAATTCCAGCACTGCTTAAATACAGTGGAAAAGACTGCGGCTTCGCTCCAGGATGGCTTTAGAGTCAGGAAAAGTGGGTGGAGGGATGTGTTCTCTCCCCCTCTTTTTTAAATGACTCAATGCCACCAATTAGGAAGCGTCTTTGCCCAGTTCAGAATGACACTCACAGCTGTTCCAGTTGACCGGTAAGGAAGCTTTAATACAGCACTGTTATATTCTTTAACTCCAGATTCGCAGAGAATACAGTGCAGAATTGAAGCAAAGAGTCAAGTTAGCACAAAACCTTAAGGCACCTGGCCCAGAAGGAAACACGTAACAAACACACAGCAAATTTCAGCATCACACTCCCATTTAACTGTTTTCTTTCCTACTAGGGAACATAATTTACATGTTAAAGATTCCTCTAAAATACTTTGGCATAAATATAAGACCGTTTCCTAACTGTGATGCAATCCTAGAGACATGTACTTGTAGTGTAACCCTTTAATATCTATTTCAGCTTTCTGGTCTCTGCAGGAAAAGAATTGCCAAGGGCAGGATTCCCCTCCCGGGGCTGGCCTCTGACACCCATTTCTCTACCTACCATAGCCAGATTTTCATTCTTTAAAAGCAAGAAATATCTCCTTTAAGTTGGAAGCTCTTTCTGGCAGAGAGCTTCTTCCTTTATTTGCATGTGAAATGCCATGTGCACATATGGTGCTATATAAAATGAACAAGACACTATTTTGCTTACCTGTAACAGACTCAGATCCTAGCACTTCTGAGCTTGCATCCCCCCTCTTTGTTGGTTCATCAAACTGCAAACTTAAATCCATTTCTCCATTAAGGATGTCTCCCGTAATCACTTGGGTTTCAGGAGGGGATGGGGGGAGAACCCCAACAGGTACACACTCTAGCTTCCCAACTGCAGACTCAGGGACAGAAGAAGTTTCCAATATAGAAACAAATCCATCGGGACTTTTCACCCTATTGGCAACTTTATCCAGCCAGGAGCCATCAGCCTCTGGAACCAAGCTCTTTGCCCCCACGTCATCTGTCAGCTCAGCAGCAGCATTTATATTGTATGGATGTGACTGTGAGAGAGACGCTTCCAGCACGCCATTGCTCTGCTCCTCTTGATCTTTGTTGGGCCAATCCAAGACCTGTCCTTGGGCTTCTTTCACTTCAGACTCAGCTTCGCTCTCACTAGCCAAACAGATGGTGTCAGTGCTGGAGTCGCTGTCGCAGGGGGGTTCTTCTGCAATAGGCTGAAGCGATGCTCTGGAGAGTACATTGTTCATATCCTCCTCCTCTTCTGGATCACCCGGTACGGTGGATGTCTCAGCTACACCTAGAGGTGCCTTATTCTCAAAGGCAACAGAAGGTGCTTCCATAACAGAGACCTCCTTTAATTCTGGTGCTTTGTTTTGCAGAGAGCCTCCCTGTGCCCCCTGACTGAGATCACATTCTTGGTTCAACATTGTGTCGGTAGGAGGGTCATTCTTCGCATCCAGCCATTTGTACTCAGATTCAGACCCTTGTACAATACATTCTTCTGCATCCACTGTTGCATTGTCATCTGCTTCCTGACAGGAGATTTCCCCGTTCAGCCCAATATCTGTGTTACTGTCATTCGCTGCAGACTCCTCGCCCTGACTGCAAACAGAGGATTTCACAATAGCAGCAGCAGCAGGCTCCTCGGACAAACACTTCTCTTTGCCAAGTGTCCCATTTTCACACAGCTCCTGACTGGGTTCAGCTTTGCTCTCTTCAGCCGGCTGTGACAGACTTTGCTCATCAGAGACCTCTTTTCCCCCACTGTCTTTAGGCAAACTAGTTTCTGCGGTTATCTTACCCTGCATAGAACTGTCCTGTTCAGCAAGCACTGCTGTCTCTGCTACTGCTGCTACTTCCTGGTTTTGTTTAGATTCTTTATTATGAATTGCAGAGGGTGTGTCCATTAAATTATCCTGGATACGCTCTGTGCCCATGCCACATGAAGAGAAGACAGGATCATTACCATGCACAGACGCCTCCTGTCCTGGAGGTGCCACTGCAGCATCTCTCTCCTGACCGATTGCCTGTCCCTGTTGTACATCTCCTTTAAACAAGGGAGACGAGACTGATTTGATTTGCTTGCCAACCGCCTCCTGTTCAGAAATGCTTTCTGATGCCACCAATTGGTTTTGCAGAGGCTCTTTTTCTGCTGAGGACAAACCTGCGTCAAATGGAGGTTGTGACCCAGGCTCACATTTGCTAGCTGAAGCAGTGTCACACATTTCACCTTTTAAAACAGCTTGATTCTCAGCGTGGCAATTGCCAGCAGACCCCTGGCGTTCCTCTGCCGAATCTGTGCTTCCTCTGCTGGTAGTTTCAGTTCCTGGTGACATCTTTTTAAGGGCTTCACTGTCACCTTCGCCTTCAGCTACAATTGCAATGGTTTTACTGCTTTCAAGGGAACACACAGTCTCTGCATCACTTGGACCAGGCCTGTCAAGGGGATTGTTTTTCATTTCAGAATTATTCTCCACATTGTCACTCAAAACCAGTTCATTCAGCCCAAGGTCTGCGTTTCCATCTTCCACCTGCACACCCTGCTCACCACTCTTACTATTGTTATTCACTTCCAAAACAACAGGATCACATTTCAATGCATTCTCTGAAACCTCTATTTCAGTCACAACCAGCAGCTCCTCTCCAGTGTTGGCAATCATACTCTGCCTCTGCTGTACAAGGGGTTCACCTTGGACTAAGCCCTCTGGCAAACCAATCTTTGCATTTTTGGTGTTCGGGTCTGTTCCACTCTCTTCGCTGCCACTTGTCTCCCCATGGCCAACAGGGGTAATATCACTGTCGACACGTGCATTTGCACTATCCTGTGCCTGCATCCCTTGTCCATCTCCACATTCCCCACCTTCTCTTGGAGATTTTGGTGACGCTGCAAGAAAGGGCTCAGTAGCATGGATCGACTCCCCACCTGCTGGGGGCAGCTCTTTCAGACTTGAAGTTCCTGAACCCCGGGTCTCATCCTCTCCATTTTCCACATGCTGCTGGATTGAAGCAGCATCCACCGACCCTGTACAGTTCTTGCATTCTGCCTGGCCCATAGCCACATCCACACCCTCCCAGGGCGTTAGGGCTTTGCATGCAGTTTCAGCCACAGGAAGAGAGCTTTCAGTTGTGCACTCTTCAACGATTTGCACTTCCTGTTGGGTATTATCTCTACTACACAGGCTGGCTTGACTCAAAACAACTCCAGTGGATGTCATTCCGGTTTCCTCATTTGTATTTCCACAGGATGGAAGGCTTGCAGCACCGTTTACTCCAGCAGCCAAGATCAGTGTGCAGTCATTTTTATCTGATACAGTCCCAGAGTCTACAATAGCGGCTGGCCCCTCCTCTTCCTTTTTACTCAACGTAGCTGTATTTTTACTTTCACAGGAAAACCCTGGGTTCTCTATACGCGCCAGGCTCAACAAATCACTTGATGTGTCGTTAAGCACTTCCAAACTCCCACTGTCACATTGGTTCTCCTTGTGGCCCGTTGGGGCTGAGAGCTGCCTCACATCAAAGTTAACCAGTGCAGAAGGGCATTCTTTGCTTCCTTCTGTTGGCATTTCTTCCAAGCGGGGGGCTGCAGTAGCCAGAAAACCCTCCGCCTCTGCTCCTATATTGCAGTTATCCTCTGAAGTTCTCAGCTCAGGCTCTGGCTGTTTGGCTGCAGTCTGAAAAGAGGGAAATAAAGACTATGACTGTTTGTTGTGCTGTATGTCACACTCTCAAAGTGCACACGTTGATTTATCAGTCACCTGTACAATTCTTAAATCTGTAACATTAACTTGAGTTCATACAAAATGAGACCGGCCCCTCCCTCCATCTCTGCGTGTCTATCCACTTGAACCACCTTTACAAAATGTACTGGAACAGTACATTGATCTTTTAAGTCTTGCCAGCCACTGGCTATATTGAAGACTATTGCTTGAATGGATTTAAATTTAAACTCAGGAAAGAGCAGGATTTAAATTTAATTTGCAGTATTAAGTAAACATGCATTTGAATGTACAATCCAGCTCCAAAAATGGCAATGCAGTTCTTTTCAAGACTGGCTCTGGGCTGAACTGCCACCCTGTAGGAGGATTACAGATCCCCTGTGTCTTTGGAAACACCATATTAATCTGCCCCCAAAGCTGGAAGCAGCCACTTGCCACCATCCCCTGGGGGCTAGTAAAATACAGACTTTTCTCAAACAACCAATCCAAGGCTTGCCTACCACCTTTCCTCATTGCCCATTCCCTGCACAGCCCATCTCTCTGTGCTTGCTCCTTCTCCTACCCCACTCCCATACACCAAGTCCTCCGTCTCCAGCTCCTCCCCACCCAACGTAACACGCATTTTGGTGACAACAGCTGCTGACTATCCTGCTGTGTTTACAGTAACCCGAGTCATAAAATAAAACCACATAATAACAGAGACCGCTTGTAGCAAGCAATATGCATTATTAAATCTTTATAGTTCAGGTGTACAACGGCTCAGACTAGAAATGTCAGTGGTGGGATATTCACCGGGGTAATGGGGTTGGCCAGTTCCCTTGAACTACCCAGGCAAGCATAAAGTGGTTGCATAGAAACCCTTTTTTTTTCCTCCTTTCTTTATTGATATAATCCTTCCAGACTGCACAGCTGGCTAAGAGGCTTACCTGTTCTTAAATACCGTTCACAATTTCGGTCCCCGCAAGACTGAGCAGGTGCCATGCACTACCTAAGGTACAATCTGATCGACAGAGACCATTTTGTCCCACTTCAGAGCAATAGTTTAATCTCTAGTTCAGAACCAAAACAAAAAAAAAGCCACACAAACTTTTTGAAAATGGCTAATTATTTTGGGGGGGCTTTTCTCTTCAGAATTGGTTCCTAGGACCCTAAATGGGGGTCACTCGCCCCACTCTGCACTCCCACGAAGTATAGCAAATGTCAAGAAAAATATCTGTGCAAGCATGCAGATTTTAGAGCACTTAGAAGCGTCGTCCTTTAAACAGGAAGGACAGAGGGACAACGGTGGGAAAGGGCTCCTCTACATACCCATCTTAAGCATAGGAGGCTCTGAGAGGTGTACCATGATCACATCTCAGCTGAATGAGAACACCCCATGGAGATTAAGACAACTTGAAACAACAGCTCTGAGACACATGGTGGACACTCCACTCATCTTAGTGAATGCTCCCACCTCTCTTTAGAGCCTATGATATACCTGAAGTATGCCTGTTCTCAGCTCCCCATTCAAATGGGCAGGACTTCAGATCTTGGCTCAACTGAGGAAGATGGGGAGGGGGGCTGTAGACAAGCATGGGCCCCCTAGATCCTGACCCACACATGGGTGGCAGTATGAGAGACTCAGACACACTCAGAGGCATAAGGTCCCCCATAGCCCAGCTTAAAGGGGACTTAGAACCACTAGAGGCATGAGAGCCCACCAGATCTGGACATACACGAGGGAGGAGGTAATGCGAGACTGACAAGTGCCCCTACCCCTATTCTCCCCTCTGCCACACACACCCACATCCCCGTTCCCACTGCACTAGCCCTCCACTGTCCCTAACCCCCAAACCTCCTTCACCTGGTCCCTCAACCTCTTTCCCCCCTTGCAGTTATCCCCCGTCTCATAACCGCCCTCTCCTCGCTACAACAGTCCCAAATGCCTCTCCCCTCACTCAGCCCACCACTCCCGGGAAATATTTGCATAGCTAATTTCCCCCCAAAGACTTTGGAAGATGTAGTGGGGTTGGGTGCACAGTTGGGATGCACTGGCAGAGCTCGGGGTGCCACCCCCCTCTCACCTGAGCCCCCAACCTTTCTCCCCTCCCCACATCACCATTTATCCCCCTCCCCATAATCCCACCTCCCCTCACTGCAACCCTCCACTCCTCTCCCCATATTTCCCCACTTTTTTGACCCCAATGCCCCTCCCTTCCCAAGAAGCACTCACATGCCTAATTCCCCCTCCCCCCCAATACTTTGATTCCATGACCTCCCAAACTCAAATAGCTACTTATAACTCACAAATTGTAGCAACCTCCAGCTACTCAGTTCAAAACTCCTTTTGTCTTAGGTGGTAGTTATGTTAATGACAGGAAGAGTTCACAGTCATCAAGAGGTCTCTGATTCATCAGCCATTAGTAAGACTAAGATTTTGTCATGGCAATTTTTAGTAAGTCAGACAGGTCACAGCCAATAACCAAAAATTCACAGAAGCCTCGTGACCTGTCCGTGACTTTTACTAAAAATAACCCTGACAAAATAGGGAGTGGGAGGGCCCCTCAACACCCACCGCTGCTGACGCTCACAGTGGCTGCGAGCGGCAGGCCCCCACTGCCCGTGGAGGCTCAGAGCTCCAGGACTGGCAGCTGGGAGTTGATGGGGACCCCTCCCCCAGCTCTGAACTCGGGGGGGCCCCCCACAACCCTCATGGGTGGGAGCTCCGGGGGCCATCCGCCACCCGTGGAACTCCAGGGGCCCTTGCACCTGAGAGCTCTGAGGCGACCTGCTGCCCACGACAGCTGGGACCTTCGGGGGTCTCTGCTGTGGCTCAGAGCTCCGGAGGCTTGGAGCTCTAGACAGGCGCCTGGGAGTTGTGGGGCCCCACCCCACATACAGCTCAGAGATCCAGGCTGGCAGCTGAAAGCTCTGGCGCCCCCATTGGCTGACAAATCTAGCCCTGTGGCCCCAGGGCTGAAGCAGAAAATGTCAGGGACGACTCTGGAAATGACGGATTCCGTGACCTCCGTGACATAATTGTAGCCTTAGTACCTCTCAGTTTAACAGTACAAGGCAGCAGAAAAAAACTGTTTTTTTTGGAGTTGGGGCTGTAACTCAAGAACCCCTGGGGTCAAAGGACCCCAATTTGGATCACTAATGCTACCCTGCGCCCCTATGAGGGACCCCAGATTTCAAAGCTATCCAATTAACTATTTGGATTTTAGAACACTTACAAGAGTCAAGCTTTGAAACCTATAAAATGATGGGAATTGAAGCCATTTTTTCTATATCGGTGCATGCACAGTGTAAATATGTACATTTCCTTAAATACCATTCTCAATGTGGGTCTCCCAAAGATTCAGTGGATGCCATACACTACTCTAGATAAAACTCAACAGACTGAGACCATTTTGACCTTCATCACATCAATAGTTTAATCCAGCGGTCGGCAACGTTCAGCAGGCGGCTCACCAGGGTAAGCACCCTGGCGGG